CAGTTCGCCTCGAGGTTGCGGCAATACATGGAAGGAGAGAAGAAGTTATGATATGTGTACTGCAATTTTTTAAACAATGCTTGTTGTTTGTTCGTGCGGCACTATTGGCCAAGGCCCTTGCCGAATTAAGAAGCGCGCGGTTCAAAACTTCGCTTGCAGGAAATTATGTGACCGCACCCTGCTCAATTTGATCATGCCAAGTTTATTGCTAAGGCCTTACGGCCGGTGCCGCCGACCCTGGAGGCCTCGGCCCTCCACGGAAATGGGAGGGAGAGGGCGGGCCATGGGCCCCGGGAGGGTGGTATTTTGACCCGGGACTCCCCCTGGGACCCCCTTCCGGGACTCCCCCCCCTTCGAGTGAACACTGACGATGCTCAGATTGGCTCCCCCTCCGCGTCGCGGCCGCTCCCCTCCCCCGAAGGCCTCCCGGGTGCCCCTCACGCGGGTATCCGGGTGGGACCCCTCCCCCCCTCCCCGCCCCCTCGGGGGGAAGGGATAAAAGGGAAGTGGCTTCCCTTCGAGTAAGCTACGACGTTGCTCAGATTGACTTCCCCCCCGTGTCGCGGCCGCTCCCCTCCGCGTCGCGGCCGCTCCCCTCCCCCGAAGGGAGCCGCCCGGGTGCCCCCCCCCCTCCCCTCCCCCGCGTATCAGGGTGTGACCCCCTTCCCCTCTCGGGGGGAAGGGATAAAGGGAAGGGGCTCCCCATTGAGTGATCTACGACGTTGCTCAGATTGACTTCCTCCCGTGTCCGGGGGGAGAGCAGATTGGCTTCCCCCCGGGTCGCGGCCGCTCCCCTCCTCGTCGCGGCCGCTCCCCTCCCCCGAACGGATAGGGGGCCACGTTCGAACCCCACCCCTACCCCCCACGATTTCTCAGGGGGAGGGTGGGGTTCACTTCGTTCGAGAGCTCCCGAACGAAGTGAACCCCACCCTCCCCCTCCCCTCAGAAATCGTGGGGATAGGGGTAGTGTTCGCATGTGGCCCCCTAAGGGAGCCGCCCGGGTGACCCCCCTTCCCCGCGCATCCGGGTGTGACCCCCCCCACCCCCCCTCCCCCCTCTGGGGGAAAGGAAAGACGGGAAGGGGCTTCCCATCGAGTCAGCTACGACGTTGCTCAGATTGGCTTCCCCACCGTGTCCGGGGGGGAGCAGATTGGCTTCCCCCCGGGTCGCGGCCGCTCCCCTCCGCGTCGCGGCCGCTCCACCCCCCCCCGCCCCCCCGTGTCCGGGGGGGAGCAGATTGGCTTCTCCCCCCGGGTCGCGGCCGCTCCCTCCGCGCGGGGCCCCCCTCCCGAAGGGAGCCGCCCGGGTGCCCCCCCCCCCCCCCGCGCATCCGGGTGTGACCCCCCCCACCCCCCCCCTCCCCCCTCGGGGGGGGGATAAAAGGGAATGGGCTTCCCTTCGGGTATGCTACGACGTTGCTTAGATTGGCTTCCCCCCCGTGTCCGGGGGGGAATCAGATTGGCTTCTCCCCCGGGTCGCGGCCGCTTCCCTCCGTGTCGCGGCCGCTCCCCTCCCGAAAGGGAGCCGCCCGGGTGACCACCCCTTCCCCGCATCCGGGTGTGACCCCCTCCCTCCCCCCTCAGGGGGAAGGGATAAAAAGGAAGGGGCTTCCCATCGAGTAGGCTACGACGTTGCTCAGATTGGCTTCCCCCCCGTGTCTGGGGGGGAGTAGATTGGCTTCCCCCCCGGTCCCCCGGGTCGCGGCCGCTCCCCTCTGCGTCGCAGCCGTTCCCCCCCCGAAGGGAGCCGCCCGGCTGCCCCCCCCCTCCCCCGCGCATCCGGGTGTGACCCCCGCCCCCCCCCTCCCTCGGGGGGAAGGGATACAAGGGAAGGGGCTTCCCTTCGAGTTAGCTACGACGTTGCTCAGATTGGCTTCCCCCCCGTGCCCGGGGGGGAAGCAGATGGGCTTCTCCCCCGGGTCGCGGCCGCTCCCCTCCGCGTCGCGGCCGCTCCCCTCCCCCGAAGGGAACCGCCCGGGTGCCCCCCTCGTATGCCAAGCCTACTTTTTCGCTCAGCGGAGAACATGTGGCATATGTATATCCAAAAAGAACTTGATGGTTGGGTGAAATGCCGCGCAACTTGACTACACTACGACCTTCCCTTGGGAGGCTGTTCGGGTCTGTTCGGTCTCTCCTGTGGATTCTGGACAATTTTTCAGCTCTTCTTGGGTTTTCTCAGGGCCAGGGGAGTGTCCCAGGCGTGCGCACGGATGTGGGTGCACATGCAATGCAAATGCTGCGTTTTCACTGCTGGGCAATTTCGGGCCACGTGAGTGTCAACATCAAAAAAGGCCAGTGTCTTGTTGTCGCTCTCGGAAGTCAAACGCCCAGCGCCTCCGCCAAATAAGAAGATGCCAAACTGAAACTTTGGTTTGCAGGGCATTTTGGCGCGGCGCCTTCGCTAAATATCAGTTTGCGGTAACTAATAACTTGACAGCAGAGCAGGCCAGTCGCCCGAGGTGAACGCGAACTGTGTTGAGAGAGACACGGTGATAGTTATCGTAGTATTTGTGCCGCTGGCCAAATAGACGATACGGTAACAATCAATGAAGCCATAATCATTTTCTGGGCGAGCAGACGTTTTGGAGAAAGTTTCGCAGCTACATCTAACGAGTGTTGCGATCTGATACGAGTGGATCAGAAGACGATGCGTACAAAATGATGCGGCAGCATGAGAATTTATGGGCAAAACAAACGTATGAGGCTGTGGTCCTGTGATTGTCCCGTGGTTGTCCCGATCGTTGTGTTGTGGTTGTCCCGTGGTTGACCCGTAGGTGTCTGTGGTTGTCCCGCGGTTGTCGCGTAGTTGTTCTGTGGTTGTTTCCTGGTTGTCTTCTTGTTGTCTCGTAGGTGTGCTGTGTTTGTCCCGTGTTGTCCCGTGGTTTTCCCGCGGATGTCTTGTGGTTGTCCCGTGGTTGTCCCGAGGTTGCCACGTGGATGTCCTCTGTCTGTCGCGTAGTTGCCCGTGATTGTTCCCGTGGTTGTTCCTGCGGTTATCCTGGGATTTCCCCGTGGTTGTCCCGTCTGTAGAACGATGGTTGGGCCGATAGTGGGATCGCTCGATAAATTGATCGTGATATCGATGAAAAGATGGTGGGGCCGATAGACAGTGATGACGATAGATGCATTGATAGTGGTAGCCTCGCTGTTGTCTCTTCCACGTCGCTTTTTTGTAGCGTGGTTTACCGCGGTTGCCCCCGCAGCTATCCCGTGGTTATCCCGTGGTTGTCCCGCAAAGAAGTGGCGAGGTCGATATATATATATATATATATGTATGTATATATACGTATATATACACATACATATTATTATTGTTGTTATTGTTATTGTTATTGTTATCGATATTATTATTGTTATTATTATTATTCTTATTTTTATTATTATTACTATTATCATTATTATTATTATTATTATTATTATTATAATATTATTATTATTATATAAGTACACAAATGTATACATCAATATACACATATGTTGAAACATGCTTGCCAGCGTGGACCCCAAACCGTTAGTTATGGCACGGTGCATGTGTAAACTATGTGATGCACAAGCGTCTTTGCGGTCGTTTCTCGAAGAGCACAGGCGGCAACGACCGGCAACGGTCGGCAACGGACCAGAACATGGCCAATCCTCAAGACACCCCCACAGACGCCAACGGGCAGCAACGGGCCGGAACGTGGCGAGTTCTTTGGACACCCTCATAGGCGGCAACGGGCGGCACCTGGCGGCAACTGGCCAGAACGTGGCGAGCCTTCGGAACATCACCGCAGGCGGCAACGGCCGGCAACGGACGGCGACGGCCGGAACGTGGCGAATCCCCAGAACGCCCCCACAGGCGGCAGTGGGCGTCAACGGTGCGGCAACGGACCAGCTTGTGGCGAATCTTCGGGACACCCATCCAATTCTTTAGAAACACATGTAAGAGCCCGTAAGTGCAAGCGCTGTTGTCTTGAATTTATTTACATATATACAGATACAAGCAGTGATAGCGACTTACATATCGATAGGGATATCGGTAATAATATGGTGAGACCGATAGTTCTTGAGACATATCGCAAGGTTGACAGTCAGACATGTAGAAGACGTGTGGTAGTGGTAAATCGTGATATCAACGAATCGGTTGATAGTTGTTTCGGCAAGTAGGCTGTGGGTGCGTATATATGTACACAGTTCGATGCCTTCGAGAGTTTCGGCCGATCTCCGTCCGCCAGTGCCTGACGAGTGGTTCGGCGGCGAGCCCGGGGAAAAGCTCGGAAGTTCCCTGGCCGTCCGAGAAGTTTCCTATGCCTTTCCCGAATACGCAGACAACTCGTCAGAAGGCGCGAGGGCTTCTGAGAAGCCCCACCGCTTCTGAGAAGGCTTTCTCCTTCTCACTTTCCCCCCCTCGCCCAGAAGATATGGGAAATTTTGGGGATCCTAGGATTTGTTTTTGTTTATTTGCGTGTCCCTGGGCTCCTTCAGATGTGCGGTGAAGGCTGCTGTCAGCAGGGGATGTGACTGCACCCTCCCCCTGGGCCCGCGCGGAGAGGTGGAGGTCCTGCCGAAGGCGGCGAAGGGCAGGCGGCTTCGCGAGGTGCTGCGCGGCTTCGGAGAGCAGGCGAAGGAGAACCCCCGCCGTCTCTCAGTCTCAGGTTAGATTGCGTCAAGATGGCAAACGCGACTGGGGCCCTCTGGATGCAAAGGATGTGGAACATCTCCGGGGACATCTCCACGTGGTATGTGGGCATTCACAACATCTCCAGGAAATCTCTGGGTTTTCAAATCACCGGAAGTTCTTCGGGCACAAATCTCCAGGGAAATCTCCAGAAAATCTCCGGCGTGCAGGAATCTCAGGAAAATCTCCGGACCATCTTTGGCAAATCTCTGCGTGCAGAACTCTCCGGATTTTTTTTGGAACATCTCGAGCAAATCTTCGGAACACTTCTCGCTTGCAGAATCTCTGGCAAATTTTTGGAGAATCTCCAGCGGAGACTTCTTCGGATAGTTCTAAGGTCGAAGATTTTTTGTTGGTTCGCCAGAATATTGTAAGGCGCGAAGATTTTTCGGATATTCGACGGAGTAGTTTTAAGGCGCGAAGAATTCGCCGGATGTTTTTTTTGAGAGAGGAGATTCGCGGTAATTCGCGGCAAGATGTTTTGGAGCAGATGATTCCAGTGTGGTCGCGTTTGTCATAATCGACCCGGTCTAATTCAGGAGGGGAGAAAGCACAGACACATAATCGTCGGTTCCCATGAAAATATGGAAATTATTGGGAATGGAGTGGAGACGAACAGCGAGAAAATATGGGAATCTTGGGATTTGTGTTTATTTATCGAAGACGCCTACGGTGAGTCACCGCCGCCCCCTGCCTTTCAGGATACGCCTATGTGGCGAAACGTTTGGGCAAGGTACAGGCATGCTACTGGACCGTGCGTTCCCCCAGCCGTTGCGGAAATCCTTCGGGGAACACGTGGGGGAAGGAAGAGGTGGATGAGGAGAGGGAGGAAAAAGGAGGACGAGGAGGAGGACGAGGAGGGGGAGGAGAAGGAGGAGGAGAAGAAGGAGGAGGAGGAGGAGGCCTCCTGGGAGCCGCTTTAGGCACTCTTGAGGCCTCCTATAAGCTTCCTGAGGGCCTCTAGGAGGCCTCTTGGGAGGCTCCTTGGGTCCTTTGTGGCCTGTGGGCGCTTCTTGGGAGCCTCTTTGGCGTCTTGGGGTTTTACTGGCCCCAAAGACGCTGTCGGAAGGCGTCTTGGGGGTCTCTTGGGGCCCTCTTGGGATGTTTCAGGGTTGTCTTGGAGGCCATCTTGGGCGTCTTGGAGGCCTCTTGGGCCGTCTTGGGGCCCCCTTGGGGCCGCCACTTGGGCCGTTATGGGGCCATCTTGGAGGCCTCTTGATCGCTCTGGGGGCGGTCTTGGGACCCGCTTGGGCCGTCTTGGGCTGTCGGAAGGCCGAAAATAAAGAAATGCCCAAATCCTCGAAGCCTGAGGAACATCAATGATTTTGGCCTCTTCGGGCCCTCCTGTAGGACCCCTTCTAGGCCTTCTGAGCCGTCTTCACGGCCTCTTGGGGGACTCTTGGGCCGTCTTCGGCCGTTTGTGAAACTTCTTGGGCGGACTTGGAGGCATCTTTGACCCTCTTGGGCCGTCTAGGAGGCCATCTTTGATCATCTTGGGCCGACTTGGGGGCCACTGTGGTCGTCTTCGTGGCCATCGTGGGCCATCTTGGAGCCATCTGGAGCAGGACAGATTTTGGCAGCCACCCTTTCTGGGTGGCCGGCGCTCTGTCCCGAGGCCCCATGGGGGAGTCTGTAAAAGACCAACATTTTTCCAGGACGTCCAGCACGCTGGACACCCCTGTGGCAAGCTAGCAGGGGGTGTGTATACTTCTGGCCTTCGGCCCATCCCGCTACCGTGACTGGGTTGTGGGTCAGAGTTCTCGGGGATGCTTCTTAGGGTCTCTTCGGAGCGCTCTCGGGGGCCTCTTGGGAGTTGTGGGCCTCTTGGGAGCCTCTTGGGGGCCTCTTGGGGGCCTCTTGGGGGCCTCTTGGGGACCTCTTGGGGTTTCCTGGGGGCCCCTTGTTGGGGCCTCTTGGGGGCCTCTTCTGAACCTCTTGGGGCCTCCTGGGGGCCCCTCGGAAATGTCCGTTCGGGTTCCCCATGGAAGCCCCTCTTGGGGCCGTCTTTGGGCCCTCTTGGGCCGTCTTGGGCGCCTCTTGGGCCGTCTCGGGGCCCTCGTGGGCCGCCTGAGGCCCTTCTTGGAGGCCTCTGGGACAGTCTTGGGGCGATCTTTGGGGCCTCGTGAACCGATATGGACGCTGTGACGACCAAGAAGGTGACAATGTTCAAAATGCATGTTTTCCCAAGGGATGGGGACGATTTTTTGGGGACCTTTCTTGGGCACCTTAGAAAGCTCTTAGGCCGTCTCGGGGGCTTCTTGGGCCCTGTTGGGCGTTACTTTATCCCAGAGGCCCAGATCGCTAAGAGGGCCTGGCGGCGCCTGGGAAATCAGGAGTCTGGGCCCTTAAAGAAAAGAACCTTTGAACCCTGGAGCCTCTCAGAGCTGCAGGAGCCTTGGGACACTCCGCTACGTGCTGCCCCTTCATTCTCGGAGAGGTGGAGAATGAGGAGGAGGATGATGAGGAGGAGGAGGAGGAGGAGGCGGAGGAGGAGGAGGAGGAGGAGGAGGAGGAGGAGGAGGAGGAGGAGGAGGGGGAGAGCGCAGCAGGGGCAGCAGCAGCAGCAGCAGCAGCAGCAGCAGCAACAGGAGGAGGATATGAGAAGGAGGAGGATGAGGAGGCAGGAGGCGGGAAGGTGGAGAGGAGCATGAGAAGGAGGAGGACAACGACGAGGACGACGAGGAGGCGGAGGAGGAGGAGGAGGAGGAGGAGGAGGAGGAGGAGGAGGAGAGGAAAAGGAGGAGGAGGGCGAGGACACGGACAAGGGGAAGGACGGACGGGGCCTCCTGGTGATGGGCTGGGGGGAGGAGCAGCAGAAGTTTGCGAGCATCGGACCACTATGAGAAACTGACCAGCATGCCGCGCGACAGGGATGTAGGGGAGGTCCCCCATCCCGAGCATCCCTTGGACGGCGACTTCAATCCCGCAACGAGGGCTCCATTTGGATCCCGCGCCTCATCCGAAGGTCAGGCGTGCCGGAACTGCTGCAACTTTAGAGGTGAGCGGCCATCTTGTTCTTGGGCTCTCGGCTACAGCAACAACGGATGCCACTTGACAACTTATTCAGGAAACGCACTCGCCCGAGATGTACTCTCAATTCTTGGCGCTTCACGCATCCCCACCGGGGGTGGTGTTAACCGTCTTTCGCGGCGGTCAGCTGCACCCCTCACTCTCGGAAGGAGCTTCGCAGGACACCAGCACACAGCGCTGGCCCCCGAGGTTGGCAGTGGTGCTTGCCGTCGGAATGCGCAACTGGGTTCAGCGACAGCCGCGCTCCGGGTCGTCGGTAGCAGCTTTCCGCACACTTCGTGACCTGAGCGACTCTGAGTGGCCGGCTTCTCTGTTCTGGCTGGGGTACCCCCCGCCGGTCCTGCCGTTAGACGGTCTGTCCCGTTAGGTCGCCCGGCTGGATGTGCTCCGGGCCATCGCGGGCTACTGCGGTTGGGTAGGGACGACGAGGTCAGCGCCTCGATCGGTTCAGCCGTCCGAGGGCCGCCTGCTTTGTTTTTCACGCTTTGCCCGCTTCCAGCCCGCCGGTAGGCGTGAGCTTGGCTCGGAGATGGGCGCCGATCCGGCGACTCGCTCCGTAGATTTGAATTAGTTCATTTTGTACTGTGCATGTGCACATGCTACCTGCTTGCAGGCGCGTCTCAGCTTGTCATCTTGGCTGCTGCGTTCGCTAATTCGCACTGTGCCGTTGCCCTGGACACTGCTCTCGCCGCCTGACCGTTGCCTCGCGGCCGCAATCCAAAAAAGTATCCCCACCGGGGCTTAGGCCGCTTAGACAACTTAGGTTCGGCCGTCGGTCCCCGTGTGCTAGGCAATTAGGTTCGCGCGTAGCCTGCCCGACCTCTGACGCTGTTGGCGCGCTCGCCTGCGGCCGCGACGAAATTAGCCTGGCGAAGGACCCAACCATATGCAGTTGTGAATGCCGCAATTGTGCTGGGTGGTGGCGGACGCATGCGGGCGGTGCCACTGGGACCTTCGGTGGAGCTCCCTATGGGGCCACGAAACGCTGTACTGGGTGGGTGAGACGCGGTCAGCAAGGGCTGTGCTGCGTGGTGGCGGACGCATGCGAGCGGTGCCACTGGGACCTTCGGTGGAGCTCCCTATGGGGCCACGAAACGCTGTACTGGGTGGGTGAAACGCAGGCAGGGAGCAAGGGCTGCGCAGGGTGGTGGCGGACGCATGCGGGCGGTGCCGCTGGGACCTTTTGGTGGAGCTCCCTATAGGGCTACGAAGCGCTGTTCTGGGTGGGTGAAGCGCAGGGAACAAGGGCTGTGCTGGGTGGTGGCGGACGCAAGCGGGCAGTGCCACTGGGACCTTTGGTGGAGCCCCCTATGGGGCCACGAAGCGTGCGAGGGGTGTGCCAGAATGGGGTGTGGAACCGCATGCCAGCGCAGCCACTGGGGCCTTCGGTGGAGCTCCCTATGGAGCCACGAAACGTGTGAGGGGTGTGCCGAAATGGGGGGTGGAACCGCATGCGAGCGCAGCCACTGCGGCGTTCGGTGGAGCTCCCTATGGGGCCACGAGACGTGTGAAGGGCGTGCCGAAAAAGGGGGTGGAACCGCATGCGAGCGCAGCCACTGGGGCCTTCGGTGGAGCTCTCTATGGGGCCACGAACCGTGTGAGGGGTGTGCCGAGAATGGGGGGTGGAACCGCATGCGGGCGCAGCCACTGGGGCCTTCGGTGGAGCTCCCCATGGAGCCACCCACGAAACGTGTGAGGGGTGTGCCAGAATGGGGGGTGGAACCGCATGCGGGCGCAGCCACTGGGGCCTTCGGTGGAGCTCCCTATGGGGCCACGAAACGTGTGAGGGGTGTGCCAGAATGGGGGGTGGAACCGCATGCGGGCGCAGCCACTGGGGCCTTCGGTGGAGCTCCCTATGGGGCCACGAAGCGTGTGAGGGGTGTGCCAGAATGGGGGGTGGAACCGCATGCGGGCGCAGCCACTGGGGCCTTCGGTGGAGCTCCCTATGGGGC